TATGAAAGCTAAAGAAACACTATCACAAAATGAGTGACACAAATTATCCTCTCCATGAGGACTGTAGAAAGTTTAAAGAATCCAAGGAGAATTTAATTTCTATATATGCTAAACACACCTTTCTATATGACTTCCTAGCGATAAAGATTCTCTCCTCCAAGTAGGGAATGGTATTTCTCTTTTTCTAGATGTATAGCAAACAAATTTCTAGTAAATTTTTCATTCCTTGTAGCTGTTGATTATTGTACACATTTTTTTTTTTTGTGAGGAAGATTGGCCCTGAGCTAACACCTGTTGCCAAGCCTCCTCTTTTTGCTTGAGGAAGAGTGGCCCTGAGCTAACATCTGTGCCAATCTTCCTCCACCTTGTATGTGGGTTGCTGCCACAGCATGGCTTGATGAGCGGTGTAGGTCTGAGCCCAGGATCCGACCTGTGAACCCTGGGCTGCCAAAGCAGAGCCCGCTGAACTTAACCACTATGGCACCGGGCTGTCCATTTTTAATAAAAATAATACTGGGGAAGATTTGAAGAATACAGAAAAGTAGAAATTAACAGCTAGGGGAAAATATAGTTCACAGTCCCTGTTCCAAACACAATCACTTCTACTGTGTTACTTAGTATGCGTCTACCCTGAGCACAAACTCTAGAGCTAGACTTTCCTTGCTTTAAATCTCAAACGGGCCATTTGGTAGCTGTGAATTAGACAAGTTACTCATCTTCTTGGTGCCCCGATTTCCTCATCTCTAGGACGGGGATAATTAATAGTTCTGCTGCATGGAGTTGTTATGAGGATTAAACAAATTAATATACATCAAGTTTTCAGAATAGTGCCTGTATGTATATTGTAAACACTGTATGTGTTAGCTACTACTTTTGTACTCCTCTATTTCCTCCGACTCCTTACTATTTATTAGATACTATGCACCAGGCATCCTGCTAGAGACTAATATTTTTTTCTTTCCAGTTTTTTCTTTTGTAGTTTCTTTCTGTCCTTTTTTAATCACTGAAACTGTACTACAAATATAATTTTGTATCTTTATACAATATTATAATATTATTGATTCATTAGTGCAATTTTTAATGATTGGTAAATACTATTGTCTTAATGTTACTATATAGCCTGGTATAAGATGACATGATTTGGATATATGGATTTTTATTAACAAGCAAAACGAAGAGGCATAACATTTTTAAAAAAGGCAAATATAAAGATGTGTTTTCCCCTCTAAAAACAAAAGAATATAACATGATGTATTTTGGAATCCTAAATTTGTTTTATTTTCATTTCGGCTAGTAGATTCATTTACTTATTTTTTCTTTCACCAAGCACCACCTATGCATTCACGTACAGTGTATGATGCTAAGTGCTGGGGATGTAACAATGAATAAGATTCTTTCCTGAATAAATGCAAAGTTTGAGATACTCAAAATGATGCAGAGGGAGCATGGGAAGAGCAACTAACTCTGCCTGAGAAAGCTGAAATTTGAGCTGGTATTGAAGGATAATTAGGAATTTTCTGGGAAGGAAGGATGTGGAATAAAGTATTCTGGGCAGAAGAGTCAGCAATGAGTAAAATTAGAACTTGGGAATTGTCTATAAAGCATTGTAGCATTGTCCATAAGGTGCAGTGTGCATGGCGGAGCAGAAGGAGGCAGGATGGGAAATCAGACTGACAATACTGCTTGGGCCCAGAAATGAAATCCAAGTTTATAATTTATCCAGTAGAAAATAGGGAATAAATACAGGTTTTAAGCTATAGAAGTAACCTGTTTAGGTAGATAACGGTGGCAGTGGAGCATGGACAGGAAGAGCGCTAGATTGGAGGTACTGACATTAGTGATGAGGCTGGGGCAAAAGTTAATTAGAATCTGATGATTAGAATGAAAGGAGCCCAGATTCAAGTTATGTTTTGAAGTAAGATGTAAAAATACTCAATTGGAAGTAGGGTATGATGGCAAAGGAAAGGCAGAGGAAGACTTAAAGGTTTCTAGTTTTGAGTGAACAGAGATAACATTAAGATATTGAAAATACAAAAGGCAAAGCAGTTTGGGATAAGGAAGGAGAGGGGAGAAGACGAAATAGGCGGTAAGTTTTAGACATGCTGTGGTGTATGCTGTCTAAGCCACTGACGCGGGCATAAGAAACCGCAGTTGGAAATAAAGGTCTAGAGCTCGGGAGAGGGATGGGGGTTAGAATACTAGCTTTATGATAGTCAATATAATTGAAACCACAGGAGAAAGTGAGATTATCTGGTTAGGGTATAAAAACAAAAAGAGGTCCAAGAATGAAACTCTTGGGAATCCCCACATTTAAGGAGCAGGCAGAGGGGCAAGCTAACAAAAGGATAGGAAATAGTGAGAAAACAGTAATAAGCAGGACAAGAATAAAAAGTGCTGCTTCAAAAGGCAAGCAGAGGAAGAAGGGGATGGTTTACCCTGTCCAGTGATGGAGGAGACAAGTGATAGGACTGAAAACAAGCCAGTCAGGCGCAGTTGTGTGACTTTAGCCATCAGTGACCTTAGCAAAGAGCAGTTCCAAGCTGAGGATTGAATGGGGAGCAAACAATCTTAGAAAGTGACAGCAGACTCCTCTTCCAGTATGTTTGTCAGGTAAAGGCAATAAGTGAGGGCAGAAGCAAGAAAGGCAACTACAGTGGTGAACTATCTTTATGATGGAGACTTGAGAATTTCTGTAGAGCAAGAAGTCTGACTGGTAGTTTATTAACATAGCATATGATATGTACTTCATCCATTGGTCTGAAATTAAGATTTAAAAAATAAGTTAAAGACTATTTCTATATCTATATACCTCTCTCTCTCTATATATATATATTTCTATATCTTAGACTGGAACACAAAGCTTTAACTTTAGTTTGAAGATGGGTGAGAATCAAAACTTGGACTTGGCTCAAGGCTTTTATTGTGGTTTATCACGAAGGCAGTTAATAAGCAGTGCTAAGGATATAAATGAGATAAGGATGCAGGTAGGTGAACTCAGCTGCCCACTTCCTGTTTGTGTATCACAAAAACTTTGGTAGCCTTAGTAGCTCTAGCAACCAAAATGTCAGAAAAACATAGTATTGTGGGTTTCATCCTCTCCCTTTTTAAAAAAACTCCAGATATGTCAGCATCTAGAAATAACTTATTTAAGGTGAAAATTCTGTTTTTAAGGAAGCTACATTACCCAGGCCTAATGTCTGGGTGCTGTGCCTTGAAACTCCGGCTGTGCCTGCCCTGGGGCAATCCTGCCTTACACTTATGTTCACCTAGGGTCTTTTCATGGCTACACCTGGCAGGCTGAGAACATAGGAGGCAAGGTACAAGACACAAGGTGAGCAAGATTTCTTTCCCTTACTCTTGTTGGTTCTAGTACAGAAGCTCACGTTCACAGAACACAGGTATAATGAGCATACCATTAATATTCCTATGCAGTCCAGGAACTTCTACCTGTATTTTTTTTTTTTTTTTTTTAAAGATTTTATTTATTTAATTTTTTCCCCCCAAAGCCCCAGTAGACAGTTGTATGTCATAGCTGCACATCCTTCTAGTTGCTGTATGTGGGACTCGGCCTCAGGATGGACGGAGAAGTGGTGCCTCTATGCGCACCCGGGATCCGAACCCGGGCCGCCAGCATCGCAGCGCGCGCACTTAACCACCAAGCCACAGGGCCGGCCCTCTACCTGTATTTTTTAAAAGGCAAAACAAGTTTGAGTTGTTTTCAACCCACAGTCTCATCAACTCAGCTAATTCTCTTGACTTCCTTTTCTATGAACACCTGCACAAAAACACCCTATTACCAATGGTAGCAAGGGGTCTTATCTTCAGGGAACCTTATAAGGGCAAGCCCAAATAAAATCTTAAGATTTGCTGCACTCATGAAATTTTTACTCACGGTGACCTTCTTGAGATACATCATTAGAGGTGGGTATTTCATATCTAATATGCAGGGCAGAGCAACATGAAGACTTTACAGATTGCTTATAATATTCACGTGGATTTGAGATTTTTGCTGCATCCATAAATATGGAAAAAAAAATATATATAACAAGACAAATTAGTAAATCTCTGAAATAGTCTTTACATCTAGAGAGATATAAGCAGCTACTTTTTTTTAACCAGCTGTCAAATGTCACTTTTGATATTTTCGGCATGTTTTAGTAAATCCTGAAACACTACATGGTCTTCAGATTTCAAATCTGTTGCTTCAATTTCTTAATGTTCTGTGAACTTTGAGGAGGTTGTAAGATCACAGTAGTACATTTTCTTAATCTCTTGAAAGACCCATTTTATCAGATTCTCTTAGAATCTCAGTATATCTGTCTTTTAGAGTAGATAATATACTGATATAAATACTAGCGACAAAGCAATTAGGGCTCTCAATGAGGGGCAATTATTTGATTGTCTCTGACGTCAGTAACATTACATAAATTTGTGTTTCAGGCAAAAAGTGATGAAAAATCCTTTCCTGATCTTATGTCCTAGAGCAAAAGTTTGAATCTAATTTTGTCTATGCTAGACTAAGAATACTGTTACCAGGTAAGATAGAAGTCAGGGGTTTCAGTGTTTTATTCCTATGTGACTAAAACAAAACTGCAGTTTAGAAATAATCTGGCACATTGTTAGGCAACACTACTAACTCCTTAAGACTTGGAAAAATTGAGTAGGCACTTGAGCATGAAATATATTTTCTGTATTTTTCATGGAATTGTATGTCCTTACTTTTTTTTTTTCTTTTTTTGTGAGGAAGATCAGCCCTGAGCTAACATCCACGCCAGTCCTCCTCTTTTTGCTGAGGAAGACTGGCCCTGGGCTAACATCTGTGCCCACCTTCCTCCACTTTATATGGGATGCCGCCACAGCACGGCCTGACAAGCGGTGCATCAGTGAGCGCCTGGGATCCGAACCCAGGCTGCCAGCAGCGGAGTGTGCACACTTAACCGCTATGCCATGGGGCTGGCCCCTGTGTGTCCTTACTTTTAATTACCATGAAAGTACAATGAATTTTAGTATTTTGTTTTTAATCATCAGTATTATAAGCATTTCAGTTTCTTACATTATAGCCTCTTAATTTCAATATACATATCTCCATATCTATATATACCTATGTGTGTCTATCTATTTACAGTGTTAGTCATTAGGTTATTTTTGGTAACTGGTCTGACTGGCTGGTGATGAGGCCCTAACCACCTGATGGTGACAAGAGCAGAAAGTAGGGTTACGTCCTTACAAAATATCTTTTGATTCTTGTTCACTTTTGCTAATGCATCTGAAAACACCTGACTTTGATCAGAAATTTGAAAATGACAATGACAACTGGAACTTCTGAGCATATTTTAAACTACATAAAAATTACCAGTGACAAAGAAAAAAGCTTATATTACATTTAATAGTGTTAATTTTAAAGACATTTCAAACTTTCATGAAGGATAACCCTACAAGTGAAGTGTTCAATATAGAAACCAGTACAAATTTTGGTTAGCTGGGTAAGAAACAAAATGCTCTAAGAAATGCTCTGAACATTATTTTCATTAGAAAAGTGAAGATAATTTTTATAGTTGTTTGAGGTGCTGTAATACGTCTACTGATACTCCCAGCTGTTTTACTAAACTGGCTGTCTGTTCTAAAATCCAAGTGAGGCTTGGGTTTTCAGAATGTGCATGCTCTTGTGTTCTACAAGATTCTAAAGACGAACAATCTACCCCATTAAGACTCCTGCTACAGTTTTTGTTAACCTCAGCATTATTTTCACAGAGTCTTTCATCTTTAGCTTCATCAATCTTTTTCTCAGCTGGAACTACATGACAAAGGTCCATATCCTGAAAGGAGTCCAATAAATCTACAACATGGGGCTGTGGAGTGATTGATTTCAGATGTTTGAGCACATACTCTTCACATTGGCCAACCGCATCCAGAAGATTATTTATTTTACTGATCAAAGCCGAACTATTATCATGAAGGTGACACCAGGAGAGCAAAGCACTGAATGAAAATATAAATAAGAGTTAAATAGGAAAAAAATTAAACAACAAAGGCTTTTAGAATTTTGATGCTAAGTCCTACGTGTTTCTCTTCCAGATAACACCAAGCCAAGCTGGATTAATAATAATAATGCAAGTCAAAATCAGGAAAGTAATGATGGTAACATAGGATTTAAAATATATATAAGGATATTATCTTTCAGTAAGAATTAAACAATAGGACTTAATCATATAAACATATATGTTTATAATTCCTAACCCCTCCTTCACAGCTCCACATCCACTTTTCCTGATTTTAGATTTTCCCCTTATGACCGTGTAGCTACTGTTGAAGAAGGATACAACTCAGACAAAGAGAGATCAGAAAAATTAGTTTCTCCTTTAAGGACATCAAATGGCCTCTAAACTAGTGATTCTCAATCTTGGATGTACATTAGAATCACTGGGGAGCTTTTAAAACTATCAAGGCCCGGTTGTATCCCAGACCAATGAAATCAGAATCTCTGAGGTTATTATTTTTTAAAGCTTCCCAGCTGATAGCAAGGTGCAGCCAAAGTTGAAAACCGTTTTTCTAATCATATGGTTGCTTGCCATCAAAACTGAAGGTTAGAGAAAAAAGTTTTGAGGCAAATTCCTTTTTCCAACTTTGTTATAGACACTGTTTGCTAAGCTAACAATTTTCTTGAAGGTAAGAATTCTTCCAGTCCTAACAAATATTTTTCTTTACTTTTCTAGTACAGACAGTACTTTTGATATTTCAGATAATCATGTCATAAAATAATGGTTGTTGTGAAAAGTAATGATGTTTTAAAAGTGGAATCAACTGATATAAAGATTTAGCAATAAGCTAAGTTCATAAAAGATTAATTTAACTTGATGTGAAGATGGACACTTGATCATTTCCTACTGTGATAGACTATGAAGTCTGATTCCTGACAGTTGAATTTTCTGAAACCAATAAAATTTTCTTTTGCTTTGATAATTTTTATTTTCTACACCTTTTTAAAATCAGTGATTTTAAAAATCAGTGATTTGAAGCATTTTATGTTTTTCTCCATAGAGGGCAGTTCAAAAGGTATAAAGCATCAAAGAGGACAAGCCTGTTGTGCTCCTAGCTCCGTGTGCCACTGGACTACTTGGCTCTGATATACGCCATTATTGCTACGGAATCCTGACAAGGTATTCAACTTTCAGGACTAAAGCAAATGGAATCATTTTTCTCTCTATGATCAGCTATAATTTTCACCAGGTACCGCTAGTCTAGAAGTCTGTCACATTGTGTGTGCCACATGTGCAAGACTAAAAGCTTTATTCAAAATCTGAAGATCTTTTCAATTACTTTGAGATATAGATTGGTGGGTTCAGGTAGCAAAAAATATACATTCTCCTATCATTTCTTTGCAATTAAGGACAACACCTTGCTCACATACGGACGAACTGATGATTTGGACTTTTCAAAGGCAATATTATCCTATGCTCTGCGGCACTCTCTTGTGGATTTAACACTAGGAAAAGCACTTCTGTTTAAACACTTTATTTTTACATATTACTTGTATAAAAATCCTCCAGTAATACTGAGGTTAAAATGACTCAGCATTTAAGTTTCAAAAAATTACCTCAATGTTCCTCTGAGTTGTCCATAGTTTATAATGACTTCTGCACCTTCCTTATAACCTTGATTGAAGCCTTGTTGAAGAGTAAGTGCTTTGCCAGCATCTATTCCATCTCTATAACCTTCCTAAAAACAAGGAAGTAATGAAGAACTGCAGCTATAACTAACACCAAGTGAACCATTGTAGGTTTTTCTAGAAAGTCATAGAACCAACTTAGAAAATCAATGAAATAGGCCTTTACTGTGTTATTTAACATAATTGCTCTATAACATATGCCATAGCCACACAACCAAAGTAGACTATGCTTCCCATAAAAGTTCATTATTGGTTTATCTCATTTTTGAAGTCTAGACTTATTGGGCACATTTTAAAATACTGATTCTCATACAATTTTTAAAAACCCTGTGTTAGCAAAAGCTTCACGGAAACAAAACAGAGAATAACACATCTGGCCCCTTGGCAACTGACTGGATTGGTGTGGGCAGGTGAGGAGACAGGGCAGTAAATAGGGTTATTGAAGGTCCTGGATAATTAACTGAAGTAGGGAAAGAGGAAAGTGGTTTAGCAAAAGGAAGACGAGAAGTCTGGTTTTAGAAATTTTGCTTGATACCTAAATTCAACTAAACTGCAAATTCTCTGTGGGCAGGGGTTTTGTCCTGCATCTCCTGTGGTGCCACAGCACTCAAAAGATGCTCAACACTTACTGGTCTAGCCTCAGCCTCATGTGAAGCATTTCTGATATTGACAACATAGTTGTTTGGCTAAGCAAACATTATTTTACTGAAATTTTAAACGTGGGCAGATTTAGTGGCAATTTAATAGTTGGCAAGGATATTAAGTGGACATGGACCTCACCATTTGGTCCTCACCCTGAACGAAGCCCTGAGTGCTCCACCTGGAAATTATGCGGGTGGTATTACGCTCAGCCTTAATGAATAGTGAGACAAATTGGAGATGGATAATTCACACCTAACAAATAAAAAAGAAACCAACTTTACTATTCCCTTAACTAGCCACCAGTATTCCATATTAGCTTTCCCTTATTGCCCTTTGACAACATTCTTAAGTTCGCTTTTTCCATATATTTTGATCAATGCCACTCCTAATTTTAGGCTCCTCACCCATTCAAGCAACCCATGTGAACTGTGTACACGTCCTTTGACAGCCATACGTACAGTCAGTGTATACGTTTCTCCCCCCGCCACGTTTCCTGTGATCCTCATCAAACTGCAATCTCTTCCAACTCTACACAAAGTTTATTTTGGTCGGTCCTCAGCGCCGAACGCACCCCGCAGGCGCTCGAGGAATAAACCCTGTGGTTTCAGACGCTTTCAAGTAACCCATTGGGAAATCCTAGCAAGACGCGGGCCGGACTGGGTGGCAAAGGGGAGGGAGGGCAGCACGGGGCCAGGCCCGGACCACTCTGGCCTCCTCTCCGCACCCCAGCTTCTTCACACCACCACGCCCCTCTCCCCACAACCCGGCATATGAAGGCCCCCCACCACCCTCCACGCAGCTTTACCTTGACTCGTCTCTGCATGTGGCTCCGCCATTCCCGCTGCACCAGGAGCGACTCGTCCGCTTCCTCATCAAACACGTCTCCCTCCTCTCCACGGCCCTGGACCAAAGAAGCAGCTTGAACCCACGACATCACCGAGGCAACCACAGTGCCTCCGGCCGCCGGAAGTCCTCGCGACTCCTTCCGGTCCGAGGGGCGGGGCGGAGACTGCGAATCGGGGCTCGCAGGGCGGCTGCGCGTGCGTGGTGTCGGGGCCGTCTCCGGTGGGTTCTGGCTACTGTTCGCGCTCTTTGCTCCCTGGTCGTTTGGGGTTTCTTCAGTTGACTGGAAGTGTCGGCGCGCGCCTCTTGTGGGCGAGGCGGGTACCGCCCTGGTGGGGCCCGTCCGATCTTGCCCTCTGCGGAAGGCAGCCGGACCCTCAGTGAAACATTCTCGCCGTGGTCTGTGTAGTGGTCTGGATGTTCGAGACGCGCGATAGTAAAACCATTCAAGGTCGTTCATTTGGTGGGCGATCACTGGCCAAAGACTCCATCTCTTTTAGAGCCCCCGTCAGTGCGTTTGAGATTTGACAGCTCGACCTTTTTTAGTTGTTAGGAGCGTGGAGCAAAGGACAATGGAATCGAAAAGTTAGATACTGCGGCCATTTTGAGATCAATAAATATAAAGAGTACATTTATAAACGAATACATTTCTTATTGCTTCACAGAATCCTTCTCATCCCGTTGCTTCTTATGCTCTAAAAGACTACTGGCTCGGTGAGGTCGGGGCTTGTCTTATTTATCTTTATATACTCAGCACTAGCAAGGTTTTGACACGTAGCAGATGCTGAAACAGATGTTAGTGAATGAATGGACACCAGCACTATTCCTGTTTTTGCCCTCTGTTCGCGTGGTCATGTAGTAATAATGAATTTTTTTAGCTAACATACTTTGTGGAGCACCTGCCTTGTGTGCCAGGCACCGAAGGTTGTAGGCTTTTGGGATACATCAGTGAATGATACAGACAAAAGTTCTCAGCTCTTGCGGACTTTACATTCATGTAGAATTGACGGAGGGTAAACAATAAGCACTATATTGGTAAATTATATAGTTTGTTACAAGATCATAAATGATGCTATGAAAAAACTTTTCAAAAACAAGCAAAGTAAGGGGAACAGTGAGTGTGTGAGTGAGGGTGGCTGGGTGGAGTAGTTTATAATTTTAAATGTTCACAGAGAATTTTGCATATATTTATATACACACATATGATTTACTCAGTAGGTCCATGGAATATGTATAAAAACATTCTATACTTGGCCACAAAAATTGCCTTAATAGACTAAAAAGCATAGAGATTTTACAGGTCATATTCTCTGATCATAATCCAACAAAATTAGTAATAAATAATAAAAATGACCCCGATAATTTTAACTATAATATTGGACATTAGAAACACCTTCCTAAATAACATTTGGATCAAAAAGGAAATAAAAATTAAAATGACATATGTACTAATCAATTAAAATCAGAATGCTTCCTACCAAAAAACATGGGAACAAATAAAAGCCGTCCTAAGAGGCAATTCTATAGGCTTTAATGTCTTTATTATTAAAGAAAGAAAAAAATACATAAACTTATTATATATCTTAATTAGAAACAAAATGATAGGGAAGGAATAAAGATAACTGAAATTAATAAAATAGAACACTCCAGAACGTGCATAAATAAATCCAAAAGCTGGTTCTTTGAAAACACCAATAAGATAGATAATCCTCTTTGATGCTGATTTAAAAAAAAAGAGAACAAAATTTTACAAGATAGAAATGAGAAAGGAGGTAATGATGAAGAAGGAAATTCAAACATTATAAATTAGTAATTAAAACTCAAGAGCAATACATTTGAAAACCTAGGAGATATGAATGACTTCCTAATAAAACTGACCCAACAAATAGAAAACATGAGATTAATTCTAGAAAAATTGAAGATTAAATATCTACTAAAAAAATAGCATGGAGACTCAACAATTTCACAGTTAAATCCTTTTTAATCTTTAAAGAACAATAGATAATCACGTTATTAGTTGTTGAAAATGTTATTTTTTACTATTCTGGGACAAAGAAAAATATGGAAACTCTCTAAATCATTTCATGAAGCCACCTTACTGTAACCTGATCAAGATATCATAAAAAAAAATAACCAAAGTTCAAGTTAGCGTATGAATATCTTTCAAAAGGGAATCCAGTATCTTATCAAAAGAATAATTGGAGCCAGCCCAGATGGCCTATGGTTGGAGATCAGTGTGCTCCGCTTTGTCGGCGGCCCGGTTTGGTTCTGGGCGCGGAGGCAGGCCACTCATCTGCGGTGGCCACGCTGTGGTGGCGGGTTATATGGAAGAACTAGAAGAATTTACAACTATACACAACTATGTGCTGGAGATTTAGGGTTGGCGGGTGGGGGAAGGAAGAAAAAAGGAGGAAGATTGGCGGCAGATGTTAGCTTAGGGCGATTCTTCCCCTGGGGGAAAAAAATTCAAGAGGTTTTATTCTGGGAAAGCAACTGTTGCAAAATTAGGAAATCTATAAGCATATTTCGTCACATCAACAATTTAAAGGAGAAAAACTCATATGTCATTCTAAAAAATGCTGAGAAGTCATTTGAAAAATTTTAAAAATCATTCTTAAAATAAAATAGATAGAAACTACAAATTGATACTTTATCAAAAATCCAACAGCAAGTAGCAGTCTAAACACTCAGATGTTAAGATATTTCCTTTAAAGTGGAGAAAAGAGAGGACAAGTGGTGATCACCATTATTACGCAACATTCTTTTGGACATTAGTGAATGCAATAAGAGAGGTAAACAAAATAATCTTTATAAATATTGGATAATAAGAGATGAAGCTCTTTCTTTTTGCTGTTTTTATGATTGTATGCCTGGAAAACCCAAAAGACTCTGGTTAAAAATAACAGAATAAGGGAATTTGATAAAGTCTCTGGGTATAAGAAAAATAAACAGATCAAATAGCCTCTTTATCTCTAGCAATAACCATCTAGAAATGGAAATGAGATAAATATTCCACTTGCAATAACAACAAATACTGTTAGATATAGTCTTTATATATTTGTTTAGTATTCAGTATTTATTTAGTATAATGTTTATAAATGTCAGGAATACATTTTTAAAAATCAACTTTATTGAGGTGTAATTTACAGGCAGTAATATGCATACATTTTGAGTGTACGGTTTGATGAGTTTTGACAAATAGATACACCTGTGTAACCACCACCCAATCAAGATATAGAAATTTCCATCACCATAGAAAATTCCCTCATACTTTTATGCAGTCGATCCCTCATCCCCTGATCCAATTTCTATCACTCAAGATTAGTTTCGTCAGTTTTAGAACTTCATAGAAGTGGACTCATATATGTTCTTTTATGTATTTGGCTTTTTTGAGTCAACATAATGTTTTTGAGATTCATTCATGTGGTTGCCTGTACCAGTAGGTTGTTCTTTTTTATTGCTAAGTATCCTTTTTGTTGTATGGTTATATCATAATTCATCCATTTACTTGTTGGACATTTGGATTGTTTCCAGTTTTTGGCTACTGTAAATAAAGCTGCTATGAATGTTCTCGTATGAGTCATTTTGTGTACACGTTTTCATTTCTCTTGCGTAAATATCTAGAAATGGACTTGTTGAGTCATATGGTAAGTTAAAATTTAACTTTATAAGAAACTGCCAAACTGTTTTCTAAAGTGATTATACCAGCAATGTATGTGAATGTCAGTTGCTCCACATCTTCTGCCTCACTTGGAATTGTCAGTCTTTTTAATATTAGCTATTCTGATAAATGTGTAGTGGTATCTTAGTGTGGTTTTAATTTTCACTTTCCAGATGATTTATAATTTTGAACATCTCTTCATGTGCTTATTTGCCTTTTGCTTATGTTTTTAAATGAAGTCTTTGCCCATTTAAAAAAATTGGGTTATCATTATTGTATTTTAAAGGTTCTTTGTATATTCTGGACATAAGTCCTTTGTCAGATACATGAATTGCAAATATGTTCTTTGCATTAGTTATATCCATCAGGAGACAGCTGTGGAGATAGAGTTAGGAGTTCCTGAAGTTTTTCAGGGGATAGGGAGCATAAAGCCCACGAAAGATAAAAAGAGAGGGAAGCATGATTAGGCAGGCAGAGCCTATATAAAGGGATGCTCATCTGATCCCCGTGGTGGGAAAGGGAGGAGGAAGCAGGACTGGGCAGAGGGAGCCTCAGACTGCTTCATAGATATGACAAAGTCCTGGCCAATGTAAAAGAAAGCTCTGGAGCAAAGGGCAAAGAGGAGTCCTGCATTAGGCACACGTGGCCAGGCCCTGGTACCCCTGCCATACTCAGTTATAGGCTGGGGGATACCCTGGAAGAGTGTGATCTTGGCTAGAAATCTGAGGCAGATCCTGTGGATGCTAACAGCCGGAGGCTGACAGCTGTACTCCTTTGTCAAGAACTGGATGATCTTTCAAGGTTCTTTCAAGTTTGTAATTATATTTTTTCCAAAATAGCTTGCTTTCTCTCTTTTTTATTATTAAATGAACTGTAAATAACAATGACATCCCCTGCATAAATTTTGGTGTCACAAAGTGAATTTACTCAAAGTATTTGGTAAACTTATCTTGCAGCTCAATATTTCTTATATAAATAGTCTATGATGAGGTCAACCTTTAGGGTTCACTCTATTCTTTTCCTGTTCTTCTGCTTATCGTTCATCCTTGTCTTTCCTTTCAAAGCCTTCAACAATTCTTTTTTATGTCCTTATATTTCCCATCTCCTGCTAACTTTCATTCTTTATCTCAGTCTTCCACAGTTTATTTGTGCCTTTTGCAAACTGCTATTTTGTAGTTGGTATAATAAACTCTAAGAGGGCATAGACTTTTTCTTGATTCCTCTTCAAAGTTTCTACCATACTGGCTTTAATCATTAAGTCTCTGGCAACTAGCCAGCAGAACTCCTGATTTCCGTATGCCAAGGGAAGTAGTTTTCCACTTTTCCTTGCCCCTTCTAAACTTTCATTTGGTCTATGAACCTCTGTGGTATTCAGTGCCTGAGCCCTTGGGTGCCGTCTTTTAATTGCTCATATCAGATTTGCTCCAAGGCCGTATATGTATTAGAAAAATGAAATTGTTGCTAGTGGTGAAAATAGTAAGAGAGCA